ACTGGAGGTCCTCGAGGTCCATCGCTGTCAGTTCAAGAGCCGGTCTTAAGGTCCAACTGAGCAATCGTCTTCGGTCACTCCAGAGGTGATTGCTCAATAAGTCCGGGGCCGGTGTTCTATCGAAAGCTCCAACTCGTCGAAATCTCCAACTACCTCACTGCCGGGTACTTGCAAGGTGGAGATTTGGACCAGACGGCGTTAGACTGCAAGACGCAAAGACTGACGGAGCTCTGCACAGCTGCATTGTAACAATATTCAGCAGGTGGAAAACGCGAGTAGTCTGAAAACGCTGTGCGCGCATACGCACTGCCACTGTACAGAGCTCCGGTCTTTCTGAGCACCGGAAGTGCGGTAGATGGAGATCTCGATGAGTTGGAGCTTTCGATGGAACACCAGCTTAAAAGGTGACAACGCAGGATGCTATTACCAGGAAAGCCATTTGTGTGCACCTCTCTGATGTAGTTTTACTTTGTTACCAAGGCCTGATTTTAACTGACACCACGTTCAATGAAGGGCCCTTACCGGGCACAGAGACATCGAACAGAACAATGACAATTAGTATTATGTCCGAGTCAGTAACCGTGAACATACATCAGAGGGCACAGGAAATGGCTTTCCTTGTAATGGCTTCCTGTGGTGTCACCCCCTAAGCTGACCCCCGGACCTATTGAGGAATCGCCTGCAGATTCCACAATGATTTCTGCCTAATAAAAGGTAATAGCCAATATCTACTCAGGCAGGATGCAGTCATTTACACCAAGGTGGGCCCTCCAGCTTAAGTGAAACTACAAATCCCGGCATGCCTCTGCCGATCAGAGACTTGCAATGCATCATGGGACTTGTAGTTCTGCAACAGCTGGAGGGCCAAAGCTGCCCACCCCTGGTCTAAACACAAGGGTAGGCAATCTCAGCACTCCAACCGTTGTGAAACTACGCCCGCCAGGCGAAACTAAGTCCCAGGAGGCATTGCAAGACTGGCAGCCACAGGCCTGGCATGATGGGATTTCTCCACACCTAGAGTGCCGAGGTTGCCTACAACTGCTCTAGCAAAATCCATCACAGCATAACGGGCTCGGGCTAAGGCTTCACCCCCCACAGCATACTCATGGAAGTTAGAAAGACTCAAGGCACAGTGACCGAATCTGTGTAAACACCATCCCCTGACTCTGTTATACTCCCCTCTTCAGTGCTCCCTCACTGCTCCTCCTATTTCAATGGCCACAGCTGCCAATTACCTGATAAGGATCACGTGGCCTTCTCCCATGATGCCTAGCAGCCAATAACTAGGCCCCAGCCCTGTCACATGATTCAGGGCACATGTCATACTCCCCTCTTCAGTGCTCCCTCCCGATTTAAAATGAAGTACAGGGTCACTTTAAACACCATCTGACTACCAGGAGCCCATTCTCTCAAAGATCATTTCTGATTGGCATTTGCCTAAATAGTCCGGGGGGTGCGCACGTCTGGTGACCAGGTCTGTTCATAATAATCATCTATAGGTTTGGCACGGAGACGACAGACTGCTGAGGAACGGACACAAGGAAATGTTAGCCGTCATTTCCAGTATTTGTAGATTTCTATCAATCACACGGCCTAAAAATTCTCACCGGAGGGGCCGAGAAAATCAAAAAGATTTCATTATATTGCATTTCATGTCAGAGAGCAGGAAGGACCAGAGCACTATGAGACACCACATTGCATTGTGGGAAAAGGGAGGGGCATGACCAGGTTATGGCACGATAGGTGTGATGTGCATGGCCCAGGTCATAGGATTAGAGGGGACGTTGGTGCACCATGGTGGACAGCGGCTGGTGTGACCCCACATTCTGCTACATTCCAAACTGATCAGATGT